GTTCGCTTGGCATTTCCCGCTCGTTTCAGCGTGGAGTGTACGCCTCAAGCGTGTAAAACTTTTTTCGACCTCCTGCACAGCGATAGCCTCGCACTTTTCACGTCCATGTGCCGTCTAATATTGAAAATGGTTCGTTGCTTGAGAATAACGCTAGCCGGATGTGACGGCACACAGATAAAATTCAAATAAGATCCGTGAGAAATACGATTCGGGAAGTTCGTTCGCGGCCCTGTTTCATTCATTTCGTAACAAAAAAAAACGCGTCGCTTCGAAAGCTTTTCACTGGCTCATCTGCGAGCGTGTTGCCTACCCGAGCGCTACTTTCAACCCCGAACCCTGTTTTCAGGAGTGCGCGTCACGAGCGGCGAAGGTGTCCACGCCCGAGAGGGAAAAGCACGCGTTCTCGGAGCACCGCGCAGATACCGCACCCTCGGTCATCCTCTCTTCCTCGACCGAGGGCGAGAAATTGTCGGGTTTCACCGAGTCGTCGATCCAGCAACTGCAACACCAACGCGACGAAGAGATCGCCGAGGAATCGGATCGTATCTGCTTAACAGACCAGGAGTGTGGCTCGAAGCGTGGAACGAGCAGGAAGCAGCATTGGAAGTCGCAAAGCATGGCAGAGACGGTTCAGCAGCAGACGGTTGCCAATTCCCTTCAACCTGGACACATGTTCTCCCAGGAAGAGGAGGCGCAGGAACAGCCGACGTTCTCGGCGAATCGGGAACTCTGGCAGAGAAGAGCCACCTCGCAAACCCAGTTGAACCCACCCGTGCCGCCCAACAATAAGATCTACCGCACTTCTCAAGAGTTTCGGGAGATGCGGCAGAAGCATACGCCCGATCTAGTAATGGACTTGCCATTGTCGGCGCAAGACGCGAGCAAGAAGTCCGCTTCGTCGAGTAGCTTGAGCAGTTCGGACGAGGAGACCCCTATTCAGCCCTCTCGCGCTGAAGCGGCCACCTCGCCAACAGGAGGACCGGAGTCACCGGACATGAGTACAGCTGCTGAAAGGTTCGCCAAACAGAACCAGTGTACTTTGAAAAAGAATACGAAAACGAATCCGTCGGAGAGCCAGTCGAAGCTGAAGCGAACTGTGGACACCGATAACGAGCCTGAACAGGAGTCCGAGGAGATGGTGAGGTCGGCCAGTTCGAACCAGATCTCCTCAGAGTCCTCGATGCCGTTGAGGTCGCCGTTGCCGCCACGGTCCACACCGAAGATCGTCGCGAAGTTTGCGGACATGCACCTGACCGGTGGCAGTCAAGTGTCTTCGTTCAAGCCACAGGTGAAGGTGAAGCCGACGATACTCAGGAAACCGGTGCTGCCGTTCCCGCATCCGCACATGAGCCCCGAGCTCGCGAGGAAGATCGAGAAGCAAGCGCAGAGCGCCGAGCAGCAAACCAATTAATCGAGGGTCAACTTAGACGAGAACCCTCTTTCCCAGACGCTCGAGAGCGCGATATATCCATGCGAGTCCCGTGTCACATCGAGCAAGCTTTCCGGCACCACCGATTTCATCAGTCCCGACTATACTCCCCATTCGACCAGTTACTCCGCCCAATCGTGAGGACTCGACGATGTGCGTTAGTTACTCTATCCGAGATAAAGAAGTCAAGCCGGCCAGCATCGTTCCTCGATATATAGACACATATAATACTTAGACGTATACGTATATTACATATGCATACACGTATACAGCTGGCGAACAAGGTGTAACGAGCACGTGAAAATTGTCATCCTCGACAAACCTGGTACGCCTGTTGAATTACGATAAACCCTGAACAGGGCCTCTCAGACCCGTATTTTTGGTAGGGAAAATAGAATGCAGAATGAACAGTAGAAATCTTTTGAACGTTGAATATAAATGATATTGAAACGGACCTGGATTGTTAGTCCAGCTCTCCATTAGCAGGTAATATGCGTAGAAGAAGACAGTCGTCGCGATGCTCAAACCCGAAACCATGGACGAATTAAAATCTTGTAGAGGAAATGTTATATTTTATTAAGAAGAAAACACTTTTGGCAGTTTGTGCCTACACATTAGTATAGCTTACTAGACCAAAAGTGAGTTTCCACTGATTTTTATATTGAAACTGATCGAAACGAAACTTAATTTAGGATACCTTTTATTGACCCTGACTGGAATCCGAGTCGCGACTAACCAAAAATGTTTTCTGGATTCGATTCATCTTGTCTGCCGAGCTGTACATGTACATATTCATATATAGAAAAGTGTACCGAATATCCGTTCGAGAAGCCAAGTGTGTGCGGCGTGTACGAAGACCGATGCTGTCCTCGGGCCGAGTTTATTTTTTCTACAACTATTTTCCATTTTCGCATAATTTTTTTACCAAATGACCCGCGAAACAATGTTTCTAGTCATCGAGCGACGACGCGCGTGAGAAACGACGAGAGAAACGTGTTATAAGCGAAGAAAAATATACATCGAAGAAAAACTACAGTTTCGAGTTTTACATACCAATAGTTGCTTGAGCGAACGAGCGAAAAAATGAGAAGCAAATCAGTGAGAGTGAGAGGGAGAGCGAACGAAAGTGA